TCGGAATTCTAGTTCAAATAACAAACAATATTAGGCTTCAAGTCATTTATTATACTCATATTTACAAGTGAATAATAAATAAGAAAGAACTGAAATTGTTGTTAAAAAATTTATAGATAGTTGATAGATCTTTCTAACTTAACAAGAAACATTTTGTTAGCTAATGAAAAATTGGTGTAAAAGTTACATTTCAATTGTTGTCACTGATCAGAATCAGTATATTTACAAACGAAATATGACTATATCGTCAGCTAATTGAAATTCATGATTCACAGTAGGAAATGGTTTACGAAATACTGATTTAAGTTACAATATGATTCAAAATGACCTGATTATGCATGGGATTCTTAGTCAATTCAGCCGCATATTAGGTATAAATAGTAATATTCATTAAGTGGAAAAATGTTCCATATTCCAATCGAAGGATCTTCACATAGCATTTAGTAGTTTACATCATTTCAAGCTGATAAATCTCATATGTAACAATAACTGCTTAATATTCAGAAGAATCGAGTGGTATTAAATCACTAAATTAAAATACACTATCTACATTTAAAGGAAGTTCATGTGAACTGTAAAAGCTAATAGTTACAACAATACAAAGGGGAAATTTGGATATCCCTATTGTTGTACATCAAAATAAGTGGCCAATTCAAAAATGAACAAGCTGATAGGGGGGATATGAGTGCGATTTTCTACTCACTTAGAAATGTCAAGAGTTTCATGTTACAACTGATACTTCAACCAAAATAAACAGATGGAAATCTTCGATCTTTAAAAACAAAACAGTTTAATATTGTTTCAATCATACTTTTATGATGAATATTTTTTCAATTATTAGTAATTTAAAAAGTACTTAATAACTCGAATGCGGTAATGATTAGGTCATTCTCATCAATTCATTTCAGTAACAACATACACTGACTTCCTTTAGGACTCAATTTTTCATTAGTTAATTGTTATTATTACTATTATTATTATTATTATTATTATTATTATTATTATTATTATTATTATGTTAATAGTAATTACTTATATTCCAACTGACCGTAGTTGACTGAAGTAAATAAGTAAAATGAATCCTATTCAAAATATTTGCGCATAGTTGTAGTGGAAGAATTTATTAATTGTACTTTTTTTCCCATTGAAATAAACACTTGATTAGATTATCCACTTCTTTGTACATAAAAATATAAACTTTTAGGTCATTTGTGAATTTGACCTTCGAAATTTGAAGCTAGAATAAAAGATTTCAATAGTTTTTTCTTTTCTATATATGTAATTACAAATAATGTATGACACTATTTTTGTTAATTGTTATGTTCATGTGATGAATTTTCTATTTCTCTCTTTTGTTTTTACTTTAACAGGATAGAAAACTACAAAAGATTTGTTAAGATTGTTCATTTTAAAGACAACTAAATAGAAGAACAATCAGCAGAAAACATTAGTAATAAATTTCATTGTATTTAAGGTCAACGAAAAGTGTCCTTGTTATTATATATATATAATATGAATGACCGGTACAATTGCAGGAACTGTTCACCATTTATGAATATATGACATAAACGTTCAGTTCACACTAATAAATGATAGTGACATATTTGTAACACATCTTCTACAGAAAAACGACTTACACGAAGCCACTGGAGAGTCCGAAATTCAGTTTTCTACAGATTGGAATACTACAAATATATTATCTTTTTTTATATAATTAACAATTTACCCAATGTTTAATTTATTTAAAATTGACAAGTCAAGCCTTGATAATGATATTTACAAGTTCAGTTCATGCATTTCAAAAGTTCGTAAAATGATAGGGGTAGAAAGTAGTTTTAATGATGTAAATTGAAAGTATGTTATATCACAATAAACTAAATATTCATTTGTAATACTTTCTGAATATGCAATAGACTGATGTTTAGAAGTACAACGTTCGATTAGGAAAAAAAATTATGATATTCATCCGCCATAGGTATATATTAACACATTTTGTTAAGCTTTCACACATGTTACAATATAAAATGGTTTCTCAGAGATTGGACTGAACTACGTAAAGAATACCTATATTAAGTTAAATATTAACTATAACGCAATTTAAAGATTTCATCTGGATGTACAATCACAAGTAAAATGTTTTGTGATCTTATGGATCATTTTTTAAGGAAAAACCTAACAATCAATAACTCACTCTACATTTATTCTTAATAACACATTTTAAAGTATGAAATGATTAACTAAATGGTTCATTCATGTCCTTTCACTAATTATTGCTACTACTATGCAAATATGTGAAAGCGTGAACATGTTATTTCCTGTTAGGAAACATCCTTCATTAGATCACATGATATTCAACATGAATATTAATGCTTCATTAAGGTTTTAGTTTGTCAATGAAACAACAATACAACAATTTTAAAATAGTCTATTTTACTGATTGACTGACTGATGATATCAACTGTAGAACTATATGAAATCATACTGCAAGTATTGTTTATGGTCCGTAATGCGAGTTGTTAACTAAATTGAATACATATCCACAAATTTCTTAAATAAATGATTATGTCAAATAAATCATTAACCAATTACACTTTCGTGCACTAACTATGCATTGAGTCAAAAAAATTTGTATGTGAGAAGTACTAGTGTATATGTGGTTGCCCAAATTGAGGTAGAAGTATTGAGACTCCTATATGCAACTTAGTGGCTTATTTTTAATTACTACAATAAAATTAGGCCACTCTCAATATTACATAGTTAAAATTATTAATGACCATCACCAGTTATAAGTACACTAAATTAGTGTCAAAATATTATTTGAAAATAGTATACATTAATTACTAATAGTTAAGGCATTAGACTTTCAATCACTTTGTCTGAGTTTCGAACCACATTTTATCTCATTTGGTTTGAGTAACCGATAGTATCATTAGCTCTTACACCTAAAGTGTGGCTCATACTCATATATTTAGTGAATGAGTCAATCTACTTTTTACTTTTAAGCTACATTTTAATTGAAAACATTCAAACAACGAATAAATGAACATCCATCTTCCTTTGCCATTTCTAGTATTACATACTTTTCATAATGTACCTGAACCTCATTTGATTGAAGGACTAAATGATGTTATTTTTGCTTTAGTTCTGAATCATGAAACAAAAGGATATTTCATCATATTTTATAGAAATTATTTAGTAACTCACATGCTCAGTAGATATTAATAATCAGTCAAAATATTTAGTAAAAGAGAACAAAAATCACCACAATATTTTGACATATTGTATAATAAGCTCAAAAATTAAAACAGGTCAGAGACTGTCTTACATAATATAATTAACTACTAATGAATCCTCAGCAGTGCGCATCCACGATCCTGCCCCCCGCTAGATTCGAACCTAGGACCTATCAGTCTAGTGAGACTGGAGTTCAACCAGGTCTGTTGTGAGATGTCAGCTCACTGAAGACAATGGTGGACGGTGGCGCAACTTCGTGGATTGGTTGAAGTTAGACATTAACACTGTTGGATAACGGCCAGTTCAGTGGTCGAATGGTTGAGCGCCCGCGCGCGAGACTGATAGGTCCTGGATTCGAATTTCGCGGGGGCAGGATCGTGGGTGCGCACTGTTGGGGAGTCCCATACTAGGACGAAATGGCCGTCCAGTGCTTCCACGGTTTTCACGGTGGTCTAGCTTCAATTGACTCATGATTTCAATTATTGAAATTACTAATATCTCCACAAAACCCCTTCTGATATTAATGAATCCTTGAAAATTCGGATTTATATTATGTTAATTATAAATTAAGTAAGCTAATATATAATTGTCAAACGGAATACTTCAAAGTCAATCAATTTATAAATAAGCTATTTTATTAAAGCCATATGATATTTAAATATGCACAATTAATAACTAATCATTACCTTTACTGTATTATAACAAATTAAAAATAAACAATTTATGTTTAGACAATAATTATTACTATGCTAAACTAATTATACAGTCTAATTAATTTGTAACTATCATACATTCTTTAATAAATTACTATGTCAGCAATAATTGGGACAGTAATCTAAATAATAAAAAATTGATTTTTTTCAGTGGTGAATAATTTTCACTTATAATAGTGTTTTCATGTCATACTAGATTAAAATAATAGTCAAGTAAAGATAAATAAACTCCACTATTTTTGTTTTAGTCTTATGTTTGTAAATGCATACATGCTATAGTTATAAGTTAAATCATGACAATACATCAGATGCCCAAATGCCCTGGTATGGCCGAGGGTGGGGAGTATCAGCTCTCCCCGCTCGGAATGCTCTCGCATGGCCACGAGTGTACAGTCACTACCAGGGAAGTCCTACTCACTGACTTCTCGTGGCGAGGGTGTTGTTTACGAAGTTGAGAGGACGAAAAGCGAATGTCCGGTGCTTAAACCGGGTTGTTGGATACGAAGAGTCTACCTAGGAGAGTTGGAAAACCTTGATTCCAAACCAATGGTGCACATGGGCTCCAGTATCCTGATAGAAAAATGGCGTATGAACCTATTGTTGGTCACTGGTTACCATGGGACTGCATCTCCTGCAGTTGCTCCACTGCCTTGGGGGTCAAACGTTTAGGTCAAAGGCTCCGGTCGTGGTTCCCTAATAAAACCACCTGTTTCAGTTTGGGCAGCTGGACAGTTTGAGGATAAACTCTAACACTGAATGATATTGGTTCAACAAACATGGAATACTATATATTCACTTGGTGTTGTTTACTTGTATCTTCCCATTGTTATTTAGAACTGCAAATGAATACAATATATATATATAATCTTTGTTTTTCATAATGTGAAACTTTCATCAAATTCTCTGATTGTAGCATTATGAATTATGAGGTTACATAATGAGAGTTTCACACTATGAGAAACAAAAATTGTTAAACTAAAGGACTTTTTAATGAAAAAAGGAAACAATCAACATACAGAAGAATGAAAATAAATAAACTACTTAGGAACTTACCAACCATCTTTATCATGATGTACAAGACCTGATAATTGATGTCCAGTAAAACTTTCACCTGAAACACCTTGTTTCTTAGTGCGTAATTTATCTGCAAACATTTGTTGTCCAGTGTTTTCGGGCATACCAGTTGCATTTAATGTAGGCGTTATTCCGGTTACATTTAACGTGTTTTGTTTAATTGTTTGACGTGATATATCGGATATTGGTGTAACGGGGTGGGTAGGTAGTTGTGTCATATTATTATAAAGTTTTTGGTCTAAAACTGATTTCAGTTTGTCAATATCTCTTTCTCGAGCGTTTAAATTGAGTCTTGTTTGACTCAATTCTTGTTCAAGCCATCTTATGTGATCAGTGTATCCTCGAATATCTTGTCGTAATCGTTCAATTAAGTTGAGTAATTCTTCAGGTTCATAGCTTTTACCATCTAAAACTAGTGTAAGTCCAGAAGTTTCAGATTGATTTGCTTTAACGGGGCTATTAAAATTAACATTATTATTCCCAGTTCTAGAAGCGATTGGAAGCATAGATCCAAAAGTTGGCATTGTTGATGAGTGGATATAACCTACAGGGTTCGATACTTCTGTCTGTGGAAGTACTGGAGTATTTTGTACAGGTTTCATTGTGACTGAACTTACTGGTTGAGCCATCAATGGTAATTCCTGAGTTTGCGGTTCCTTATCCAAATAGTTAGCGCTTTGATCGATTATACTGTCAACAAAACTTCCAATTGGTTCTTGATTTTGTCTGAGTGTTTTAAAGTTTTTTAATAATGTTGGTTGATCAAAAGTAATGAATTGACTTGTTTCAAAATCTGTTTTTATAGTCTCAGCTGTTGTGTGCAGAGTTGTACAAGTAGTTAATGGTGGAGAATTTCCACTTAGATTTGTTAGTACTGTTGCATCCAATTTCGTACACTTTTTTGTCAAACAATGTTCGCAGCTATCGGAATATAGATTATTATTATTTGTGTTAACCAGATCTATATTTGGTTGTAGATTGATAGTCACTAGTTGTGGAGAATAATGAGTTGTATCGCTGACTGATTGTGATAAATATTCCAATGTATTGGTTGGATATGGACTCCATCTTTTTGCTTGTATATTATCAATTTCTTGTTGGCCTAATGTGGCCCTTCTTCGTCTATCTATATTTGACAGTGTTATTGATATTCACGTAGAGATTATTGTTATTTATGACGTTGTACTAGGCTAAGTTCAGAAATAATTGTACATATATATATATATATATATCTTTCTATAATTCCTGTGATAAAATCTTTTAATTATAATATGACTAATTGACAATAAGAATAATAAGATTCATTTATCAAGATCTCATCACCATTTCTAAGATTATTGGTATATGATAAAAATAGAAAAATCCAGGTTTATAATCAATTATAATTGGTTGAATTGGTTATCATAAGCAACGTACAGATAAACATTATTATTATTATTATTATTATCTGGAAATATGATTTGAATTTATGCAAAAATCCAACTAGTACATTAGTGAACAAACACATAACTGTTTATGTTTATGCATATACATATACACATGATAATGAGAGTGGTTGTAAACACACACACACACAAACAAACAAAGTGAATGAATCTTATTTAAATATGTTGTTTCCAGGTTGTAGATTACTCGACATTTATATATAATTGATTCATTGATTCAAATTAGTTTTAAAGTAATAATATCATTGTAATTATAAAATAATACACCTCAACATTTCAATAGTTACTTTGTAGATACCTAAAAACAACGCAAACAAATAGAACAAATAGAACAAAACTTATCATAAAGGTTGGCAAAAAGAAAAAAAAAACACAATCTTGATAGAAAAACTAACCAACAGGTTAAATATGTCATGTGGAATGACATTTTATTGAATGAAAAAAAATAATAAAATAAAATAAATTCTTAGTTGTATTCTATCAACCAATCAACAATTTGTAGTGATCTAGACATATAAAACTATATAAAGATCAATAGGAATTCAATTGAATATTTAAATAACCAATCAAAATTAGGTTTATATTTAGTAAATATGCACTTAAACAAATTGTCATTTAAGTTTCAGATGATTTTAAATTTTAAATTTTTGTTTGTTTGTTTGATAAATTTTAATAAATCCGGGATATTTGATTATGAATCATATTAATTCTTATCAGAATGGGTTTTGTGGAGATTTTTAGAAATTTCACCCGTTAAAATCATGTGAGTCAATTGAAACTAGACCATCAGTGTAGTTCAACCAGGTCTATTGTGAGATATCAACTTACTGAAGACAATGTTGAACGGTGGCGCAACTTCGTGGATTGGTTGAAGTTAGACATTAACACTGTTGGATGCTGGCCGACTCAGTAGTCTAATGGTTGAGCGCTCGCTCGCGAGACTCATAGGTCCATACTAGGACGAAATGGCCGTCCAGTGCTTCCATGTTTTCCATGGTGATCTAGCTTCAATGAATTCATGATCTCAACTATTGAAATTACTACAATCTCCACGAAAAACCCATCTGATATTAATCAACATATACTCACTAGTGACTGGCTTCAAGAGGTATATCCTGGAGTTCTAGTGAGAAGCAGTGACCAGTGGAGTTCAACCAGGTCTGTTGTGGGATAGTAACTCACAATGGTGAATGTGTCGCTCAATTTCGTGGATTGGTTGAAGTTAGACATTAACACGGTTGGATGCCGGCTCAGTGGTCTAGTGGTTAAGTGCTCGGGCGCGAAACCAGTAGGTCCTGGGTTCGAATCTCGCAGGGGGCGAGGTCGTGGATGCGCACTGCTGAGGAGTCCCACAATACGACGATATGGCCTCCCAGTGCTCCCAGGTTTTCCATAGTGGTCTAGCTTCAACTGACTCATGATCTTAACCATTGAAACATTCATTCATTATATGGTTACTTGAAACTATAAATAGATTCTGATTTTTAAAAAAGATAAAGCTAGTTTGAGACTAGTGAATAAATAATCCAAATACAACAATGAAAAATTTCTTCTTATAATTGAGTAAATTCATGTAAACTTGATGGACTAAATGACTATGTACACGTCATATGAATGACCTAGATTTATTTTACAACAGAAAAAACATATTGGATCAAAACGCTTTTAAAATTCTCTGGACTAATCACACGCATGCATTCATTCGGATTATGATGTATGTAATATCGATATCGCGTATTCATAAATTGAGAAAATACTGGAAGATAAAACTCATTACAATAATACAACAATAGTGTGATGTACTTCCAGAACTGAAAACAGGTTTGAAGTAATCACTACTATTCTATAGGTTAAGCTCTTAATCCTTATTCAGTAATCAACTATACTAGTAAATGAAAGATGAATTAATTAAGCATAAAATTAAATAATTGACAAATAATTCTAATAATGATTTTTAGATCGAATTAGGGACTTATTTTGGATTTGGTAAATTTAACTAATATATACTCACGGCGAGACTATAATTTATGGATGACCTTTGAGAGACGCCAGACTGACCTTGAGAGTGTTCACGTAATAACTAGGACCAAATGCGGATTGTAAACCTGTGTAAGGAATTATAATCATGATTTACAGTTGATGGTTAGTGTTATAAATTAGATTCGGGGTTTTCATCACGAACTTACATCAGCTATAACGCCAAAACTCTATTTAACCAAATGAATAAGCGAATTTCACACCAAAATCCAAGACCTGTTATCTTATACCTAATTGGTTCAGCAATGAATTATAGTCTCGCCTATACCAGCTGTATAGTTGTAAAATTACAACTAATATGGTAACTTTCTGGATTGCATTGAATTTAGAATTTATATTATGTGAACAATTCTCGTAGAGAATGGTGATAATTCACAGCTGAGTAAACTATAACCAGGTAGGTAGGTCATTTTAGATATATGTGTAGAAGTGTATAGACTTGACATAATATGAAATTGTTTTAGCAAATATTTCATTAATTATGTTATATATTGAGTTAAGCTGATCCTCGTTTAGTGTATTCTACTCCGTCTAATCAGTCAATTATATTAGTATTGTCCTTGATTCGAGAGTTAAACTAACTTTGTGCAAAGCTACACTTATCTCATTGATGAAGTGACATTGTTAACCTTGATGATTGAATAAATAAATATTAGTTTCATTATAAAATACTGCATTCTACCATCTTAATTAAAAACACTTCGGCATTTTGCATGTAGGGTCTGTCTGACATAGTATTTGACTTCAAGTGACTGACTTCAAGAGATACTGCTGGAGTTCTAGTGAGAAGTCGTTACCAGTGGAGTTCAACCAGGTCTGTTGTGAGATATCAGCTCACTGAAGACAATGGTGTACGGTGGCGCAACTTCGTGGATTGTTTGAAGTTAGACATTAACGCCGTTAGACACCGGCTCAATGGTCTAGTTGGTTAGGCGCTCGCACGCGAGACTGATGGGTCCAGGGTTCGAATCCCGCGGGGTCCGCGATCGCGGAGTGCTGAGTCCCATACTAGGACGAAACGACTGTCCGGTGCTTCCAGGTTTCCCATAGTGGTCTAGCTTCAATTGACTCATGATTTCAATCTGTGCAATCATATTTAAATCTAATTTAAAATAATAGAATAGTTATGCAGACACATTGATGGTAATTTCATTACTTTAGGTGCGAAAAAGAGGATTTATTATAAGTACTTGATATCTTCATCAAGGTTCATTTAAACCTAAAATTTACGATAAATTCTAATAAGCAACAGCTATTTTGATTATTTTGATGAGATAATGAGATGAACTATATTTAGCAGTGTCATTCGATGACAGGAATAAATGAACACAACTTTAAGTAGTAAAAAAGAACCGATGCAAAATATTATTAGTACAATCAAAATATGTCAATGTCAAGTAATTTCTGGTCAAGGTGAATTTGTATGGCCTATCACTGTATTAATTTCTATGTCAGAATATGGATATGAAAAATGTACGCATTTGTGATATGGGTTGGTTGAGATTGTGTGTCCGTGTGTGTAAAACTAATAAATAAGGTCAAATGTAGTTGTTTGGACAAACAGTTCAGATTGGATGAATGTTCAGGCCTTTTTTCGGATTGAGGGAAGAGGGATTTAGTATTATGTGAAACGATTCGGCTATATGAACCTCTTTGTAGTTGGAAAAGCTTTTCTGAATTATTTTGATATTTTTAATATTAATTTGGTGATTGTTGAAAATAGTATGTATTGCTAGTTTGAATTGTAAATTATCCAGTTCTACAGGACTATTAGATCTTTTTCTGTAACTTAGGTGTTCCTTGGCATGAGTCGAGATCTCACGGGAAGACACTCCAATACAGAATCGACATGACCTAATATGTAGAGACAATTTCGAGTAGAAATGAACGGAATTTCATCTTTAACTAAAGCGTTTCTTTGAATGTTAGTTATCTTATAGAAAGCTTTACTTTTGTATGTTTTTAATATTTATTGTAATTCTTCTGTCGTACCTTGGCGGTAAGGAAAAACTACAGTACCAGTCCAAGAAATTTCATTAAGATTGTTATTTACAGAAGGAAAATTTTGTTTTAATATGTTTTTAATAATATTTTTTTCAGGACAATTATTAGAATGTAGGATGTTTATTATATTCTGTTTTATTTTC